AGAGACCAGGCAGCATTATATCTTGTCTAATGGGAAGGAACAGGGGAGAACACAAACTTACATTCCAAGATTTATCAACTTTGTAAAAATTGCAATGAATAAAAGCAAACTATTTTTTTTAGAAACAAATAGAACCATGGTTTTTCTTAAGGCTTCTTCCATGCACACATGCATGTATGATCTATATTACTTGAAATCCTTTTATTTCTACTTGTCCATCACCCACCTGTCTATCCACTTAAAATATTTAAAAAACAAACATTAAATCATACATTACTTGGGGAAGTCCTGGTGCCAAAGCTTCAGGATACGTAGAAATATTCCAAACACTGATATTATTTCTAAGGCGCTTACTATATAATAAAAGACACATATATAAATGAAATAAACACAATCTTTCAAATTCATTTTTTTCCTGGAACAAATTCCAAAGGGAACTACATGGTTTATTATACAAAAGACAGATTAAAACATTGTTCCTTATGTTCAGTCTCTACAAAATTTAGAGCCTATCGTTTCTATGGTCATTTCTTATATAGTGTGTTGATGAAAGCCAAGATGAAAACATTTAGGATATACGAGGTCTGCCAATGACTTTCACGAACTCATCCTAGAAAAAGTACTACGTACCTCCTTGCTGAATATCACTACAAACAACTTGGAAGTCCTCCCCTTGGGAAGCTGCTCACAGATGCCAGCACTTAGGCCACCATTCAAAGCAATTTTTGGAACTCTTTCTGTAATGGCCATCAGAGCTGTCATGGTATTATGCTGGATGTCCTGAATGTCATCAAAAAGTCTTCCTTTCAACATTTCTTTTATCTTCAGGTAAAGAAAGAATCATTGGGGTCTAAATCAGGTGAGTAAGGTGGGTGTGCCAGTACAGTTATTCGTTTACTAAAACTCCCTCACAAACAATGCCATGTGAGCTGGTGCATTACATGATGCAAGAGCCATGAATTGTTGGCAAATATTTCAAGTAGTTTTCATCAAATATTTTCACACAGCCTTTTCAACACTTCCAAATAGTAAACATGGTTAACTGTTTGCACGGTTGGTACAAATTCATAATGAATAACCCCTCTGATATAAAAAATTTAGCAACATCATTGCAACAAGTTCACGAACTTGTGTCCTACCTTGGTATACCGCCTGATCTGATGCTAAAAAGTTAAATGTCAACTATATGTGTATGCCTCACAACTGTGCTTTCCTAGAACGCTTGAATAATGAGGCTAATTAGTTCGTTGTTTGAAAAAAGGTTCCCTTCATCGTACCTTGCCCTCCATCTCTCTTCGATACTGCAGGGACATTTGAATCACACTAAAGAGTGGAGCAAAGTCCCAGGAAGTGTGCAAAGACTGCACATAATCTTCTATAGAATCAATGCTACTGTTACTGGGGAGAATAGTCCCTTTTCACAACAGTCTTAGAGGATTTGACCCCTCTGTCCACAGGTCTGAAAATCATACAATTAGTGTTCAGTTATTACTCAACTCTCTGAAGACTACAAGTAGGGGAGGAGAATGTGCAATTTTATTATTTAGGGGGAGAAATGTAAATAAGTGCATTTTTAAAATGTTAATTGCAAAGGAAACATATTCAGAAAATAGTTTTGTGTAATAAATTTTGGAAACATTTCTGAAATTATTGGGTTGTCAGAAAAGTCATGACGCATATTTGCAATGAAAAACATAGAAAAATACATCATGACTTTAACGACCACCCAATATTTCATTGCCATCATTATTATCACAGTAAGTAAAAAAAAATGATAAATTCTCAGTATGGCCATATTATCCTAAAATGACTTTTATTTTTGCTAAAAGAGTTA